AAGAGAGAGAGAGAGAGAGAGAGAGAGAGAGAGAGAGAGAGAGAGAGAGAGAGAGAGGAAAAAAAAAAAAAAAGGTTCTTGAACGCACATGAACTTACCGCAAATTAGTATTTACCGGTATAGATTTGGCACACACATATCCAGTCAGATCCGACGGTCCACAATCGCTCGAGCCATCTCCAACTCCATCGCCATCGCCATCGCCAGCTTGACTCCCAGGTGCTTGAGAAGCAGTTGGGGCAACCATAGCCGCCGAGATCAAGAGAAGCAGAACCAAGAAGAGGGTGCTCGAGAACGAAAGCGAAAATCTGCTAAGACGTCCCCTGCCGATGGCCCCCGCTAAAGCCGAATGGGAGGGAGAGGAGGAGCGAGAGAGAGAGAGGGAGGGAGAGAGACAACAGGAGCGACACAGAGAGAGAGATCTCCTCGTCCTCCACTTGTCAAAATCCCCCATTTTTTCCCTCTTGAAAAAAAAAAGGGGAAAAACTAAAATCGACACCTGCACCAGAGCAGATGCACGCCACCGATCTTCACTTCTCTCTCTCTCTCTCTCTCTCTCTCTCTCTCTCTCTCTCTCTCTCTCTCTCTCTCTCTCTCTCTCTCTCTCTCTGTGTGCGTATAGGACGCGCGCGTGCGGCTGGGCGTGAAAGGGAGTGCGAGCGTCTTCGTGACAGAAAAAAGAAGAGGACGACGACGACGACGACGATGATGACGACGAGAAGGAGAAGGAGGAGGAGGAGGAGGAGGGGAGAGAGAGAGAGAAACCGAGATTGTTTTCCACGTTGGCAGCTATGACCTCCAGCACGGACTGGCAATCCTTTTTTCGTTGTTTTTTTTCACCGTTTCCGTTCGTCCGTCCGTCAGCCTTTTCTTTCTTCTTGCTGCTTCTCTTCTTGCCAGCCTTCTTCTTTCGTCATGCTGTCTCCCTCTCCCTCTCCCTCTCCCTATTTCGCGCTCACGCTCACGCCCTTTTCGCAACTGCAGCGCACTCGCTCTTCTATGGCTGAATGTGGAAGCGCAAGGCGGTTCGACACATTCATCGCCGTGCATAATAAATACTAGTACTACCTACCCATCTACTATTTATCGTTTCCCTCCGAAATTCTTCGAATACCCTGCCCGTGCCCGCCGGTTCCCGCCCAATGAATCTTTCCGACAGACCTCGCGCTGTTTTTTCGTCAGCGTACCGCCGCGCGGCGGGGCACAACCCCGCCCCCAAATACCATACCAAACCCTGCGCTCGCGCACCGGTTCTTGCACAAAACAAACTCGCAGCACTTCGAACAGGCGTTTCGCTTTTTTATTCACTGAATACTGCATCCATCCATGCATGCGCGCATGCATGCATGCAGCTCTCTCTTGCCTGGGTGCATCTCTCTCTCTCTCTCTCTCTCTCTCT